AGGCACATTGCCATTAATCCCCCTCAAAAACACCTACCCCCCCTCCCCAACACAGTTATCCCATTGTTCTTGCCACTTTCTGAAGCAGTTCGGGAAGTCCTCTTTCCTGAGTGTCTTTAGTTGCACTGTTGTGGCTGCCTCGATGTCCTGAATCAATTCAAAACATTTACCTTTCATGGTCATTTTGACTTTGGGGAAGAGCCAGAAGTCGCACGGTGCCAGATCAGTGAATAAGGTGAGGACACATCGTGATGTTTTTATTTGACAGAAATTTCTGTACCAGAAGCTGCGTGTGACACGGAGCCTTTCTGTTGTGATCAAACAATACAGTGAATGCTGCTGCTGAGTGTCATCCAACAGAAAGGCAGGGACCTTCAAAACAGGAAGCAGCGCGACGAACCTTCATAACAGTGTGTGACAAGTTTCAACTTGTTTGGTGCAGTCAGTCTGGTATGAGCTACGGTTGAGAGAAAGTATGTTTTAAAGTGTAGCATAACTCATCCCCCATCATGACAATGCTCCACGTCACATCGCTTCTGGTATACGGCAATTTCTGTCAAATAAACACATCACGGTGTGGGGGTGACTGGTTAGCTCAGTTGGTTAGAACGTGGTGCTGATAACACCAAGGTTGCCAGTTGGATCCCTGCATGGGTCACTGTGAGCTGCGCCCTCCCTAAGAGTCAACTGTGTCATTGTAGCATGAAAGCAACGTGTAACCAATGACCATGGCTGTTCCCAATAAAAATTTTTAAAAAAGATTTTTATTAAAATATAGCTAACATACAACATTATATTAGTTTCAGGTGTACATTATAGTTATTCAAGCCAATACAATTAAAAAAAAATTTAAAAGTAAAAACATTACGGTGTGTCCTCATCCACCTTATTCACCGGATCTGGCACCGTGCGACTTCTGGCTCTTCCCCAAAGTCAAAGTGATTCAGGACATTGTGGCAGCCATGACAGCAAAACTGAAGACCCTCATCAAAGAGAACTTCCAGAACCGCTTCAAACTGGCAAGAACGATGGGATAAGTGTGTTTGAAGCGAGGGGGAATATTTTGAGGGTGATTAATGGCAATGTGTCTTTTGCTGTAACACGTTTTAAATTTAAACATTCACCGTTTTTGTTTTTTTAGTTTTTATCACGCCTCATGTGAGAAGAGGCTTACTCGAGAAGAAGGGGGGAGCAAACCTAGTTGATTCAGTGTTTAGAGTGTGCAGGCCTCGGGTTTTATCTCATTAAGTCCTCCGACACCTTTACGCCTTAGGAATTGCTATCCTCCTCATTTTACACGTGGGGAAACAGAGATCAGGAACTGGCAGAATCAATTACAAGTAAGTGTCTACTTGGTGTGATTTGTGCTTAAAATGTGCTCCATTTCTAGATTATCTTTGGCAATCTCTGTCAAAAGTTTTCACACCTAAAACAGCCTTTTAAGTCTGAGCCAGGGGTCAGCAAGACCCTGAAAGCCTCACTTTGGTGACCAGGGGCCAGTTTCCTGGGTCCCAGCAGTTGGGCCTGGGGGCAGTGAGTCCAGGGCACTTGGGGTCCTGCTGGCTAACAGCGGGGCTGTTTTGAGCTTCTCTTCATGAGGCCTCCTGCAGGCTGCAGCCTGTGGTGTGTGCCCCTCCCCTCCTTTTAAAATTGCCAGGGGAGCCCAGGGCTGGGGGCTTCTGAGCCATTATCTATTTTAGCTCTGTTCTCTCCCCATCCCTGGGTCCTGTGAGCAAAGCTCAGAGGTGGCTAAGGGCATGAGGCCACATCAGACTCTCCTGTGTTTGGGTCTCACCTGGCTTTAGGGTAAGTCACTTAACTCTCTGAGCTGCAGTTTCATGCTCTGTAAAAGGCCACTTGACTGGGATGGTTCAATAAGGCCATTTTGTGAAAAGCACTTAGCAGCGTGCCTAGCACACAACTACAGGGACGGCCAGTCCTTGTTGGGCTCTCTCTCTGGGCTGGGCACAGCTCTCCATGTATTAACTCTCAAACCCCCAAAGTAATCCTATGAAGTGGATACTGTTGCTACCCCCACTTTACAAAAGAGGAAACTGACCCAGGAGGTACATGCCTCTCTGAACGCCACACAGCTTAGATGCGATAGGCAGAGTCGTGACCGAACTGTAGTGGTTTGTCCATAAAGCCGTTCTTGTAACCACTAACTGGAGGCTAATCTGGTGTTTGTGGTCCGCTGGCAAGTGAAAATCCAAAAGGGGCTTAAAAGCCTGCCAGAGCCCAGGCCGCCTCACTTCCTACTGTGGACTATGAACCGATTTTAAAAATCTTTCCTAGAGCTGGCAGAGTCCTTAGTAATCCCATCCCATTACTTTATAGTGGAGAAAACTTGACACTTAGAGAGGTTGTGACCTGCCGGGGGTCACACAGCTAATTATAACGCAGCCCATGCTCTTTGCTGTGCGTCTTGAACCTGTGCCCAGGCCCAAAAGCCTCCCTGCCAGGCCTGGCCCCCCACACTTTTCTCCTTCATGGGAGGCTTCCCTGCCTGCCTGTGTCCTTGTCCCGAACCTTCTGCTGATGCCCCCCCCCCCCCCCTGCTGCTCTGCACCTCTTCCCAGATTTCTGACCAGGGGCTGCAAAGCTGGTTAGCAGACCCGTGCTTTCAAAGACTTTTGAAACCAGTGGTGAAGAAAGACATGAAAACAAAGAATGTTTCCAAGAGCGGTTCTTAAACCTAGTTGGCAAAAGGATTACCTGACCTGCTTCTTTAAAACTCAGATTTGCAGGGTCTCCTTTCCGGAGATCCGGATTCAGCAGGTCAGGGCTGAGGCCCAGGAATGTGCATATTTACTCATCACCCCAGAGGGTCTCCGGTGAGATCTCCAGGACACACCAAGAGAAACGCTGCTGGGGAGTGGGACACTTAGTGACGGTGGGGCTGGAGTGGGCATGTGACTACCTCTCTCGGGTGTTGTGGCCAGGTGTGGGCTGAGCCTTGAGGGTTATGTGGGCATATCCAGGCAGAGGGGCCATGGAAGAGCATCTGAGGCAGAAGGAACAATATGAGCAAAAGCACAAGGCTGGGGTGAGGGAAGAATGCGTCACCTTCAATTTCCTGCCAATGTAATAATAACGGCATCAACTACATACTAAGCACTAGGCAGACAGCGATGAATAAGACAGATGGCCTGGTGGGCACCTTGGAGGGCCTGGTGCGCAGGCCGTGGGAGGATTACCAACACCTCCTGTCCTCCCTCCTAGGTCCCCTCCCAGCTCTCAGGCCTTTGTGGCCAGGTAGCATCTGCTCAGAGCTGAGGCTGCTTGCCCCAGTCTAGGGTGGGAGAGCAATAATTGAGCAAATGCTCAGGGAGTCCCTGCATCGCACCAGGCACTGTGCTAGCCTCTGGGCTTGGGGAGTGAACCAAACAGAGGGCCCTGGGCTGAGCATGGAGCTGGGAAGACAGAGGGATAGGTCCATTTGTAAGGAGCCTGGCAGGTGCCAACTTCTGTCTCTTTCCAGGCAAGAAGGTGTATGTGGGCTTTGAATATTTACCCCAGGGATACTGGAGGCTTAGGGTGCTCCTTTTTCCCCCCTTAAGTATGAGGATCTCCTGTAGATCAGAAACACCTGGGGAACTGTTTAAACTTCCCGTGCCCCCTACCACCACCAAAAACGGACCCCAGATCAATTAAATAAGAATATCAAAGGGTGGATTGCAGCATCAGCCTTTTTGGGGTTTTTTTCCCTTCAATATATTTTTTTCGCCCATCCATCCACCTTCTCCCTTTTGGCAATCATCAGGTTCTCTGTATCTGTGGGTCTGTGTCTGTTTTGTTCATTTGTTTTAGGTTGCTGCTATTTACACGGAAAGGGTGTCAGGGTCCTTGGGATGGGGTAAGAGAGAAGTGAAATGATACGGTTATCAGGAAGAAGTGGAAACATGAGTTGACCTAATACCCAACAATGCCGCTTCTCATTCTTTGTGGCTCATTTCTCTCCTTCACTGCACTTATCACAATGTGTAACTATTATTTATTACAGTATATGTTGGGTTTTTGCGGGGGAGGTGGAAGCTGTTTCCGCCACCCAAATGAAGCCCCATGGCTGTCTCGTTCTCCAAAGTGAATGGCCGCACCCGAATCCTTGGATGACCCTAATATTTACTGGTTGCAGCTGAATGAATCAAGGCCACTTATCCACTGCTCACTGAGTGCCCTGCACTGGGCCAGGCGTTTTCACATTCCGCCTCTCATGCATGAGCCCTATTAATCCAACCCAATGAAGTAGAGATGGCTATCACCTTCATTTTGCCAATGAGGAGACCGAGCCCTAAGGGGTTTCAGCGACTTGCAAGGATCCGTGCGGCCGGGAGGAAGCAGGCAGGGCGACCATGGGACTGGGGCAGCTCCAGACGCTGGGTGAGGCAGCCGGGCGTGGGCAGCCTCGGAGCCTCGCAGGAGCGTGGGGACAAGCCCAGGACCCCCCGGGTCGGGATGCCAGGAGGGTTAAGGGAGAGACCTGGGTGAAGTCGTGACGCACCCACCAACTGGTCTGGTCTCTCCCAGGGTCAACTCCGGACACCTGCTATTAGCACAGCGACACACAGACACACAATCCAAGCGCCAGCAGCTTCGCAGGCGTCATTGGACGCTCTGCACTTGGGCGGGGTTTCCCGGCGTCCGCGAGAACATCCGGGTTACAGGCGCTTAAAGGACCAATGAGCGAAAGCACCATAAACGAGGGGGCGGGGCTAAGGCGGGGCATCATGGACGCCCCCAGTGCGCTGCGTGCGGGTGCGTGTAGGTGATGCACTGACAGGCAGCTCCGCCGCCGCGGACCCGCCCTCTGCCCTCACCAGCCGAGACTTGGTTGGCCCGGGAAGTTCTGCTAGGCGGCGGTCGGAGAGGGAGCCATGGGGACGGTGCATGCCCGGGTAAGAGGCCCGGCGACCCGCGGGGCTGCGTGACCTCTGGGCGGGCGCCGCGGGGAGACGCTCTGGCGGCTGCGCCCGGGGTTCACTTGGCGAGGGGGCTCGGAGGCCGGCGGGGCCCGGTGGCCGGCGCGGAACGGGGCGGGTCGCTCCGCCTGCAGCACCTCCGCGCTGGGCCCCCGGGCCTGGTGCAGAAGGCCTGGTGCTGTCAGCGTGTCCCGCAGACCTCCGAGCAGGAAACCTGTACTCAGAGGAGGGTCGTGACTCGCCCAAGGTCACTCAGCGAGGCAGTGGCTCAGAAAGGACTAGCGAACTTTCCGTGATGTCCTGGAGCAGAGCAATACGTTTTTCTCTCCACGACTCGACTTCTCTACCCGCAGCCTTGTCGGGCGCCTTCTCTTCTCACCGGTCACCCTCTCCAGACGGCCTCGCTCCGCCGCTGCTGGAGTCATGTAGGATTCGGCCAGCCCAGACCCACCTAGGAGGCCACCTTGCTACTTTTTACCGTCAGAGACGGGACCTCGCTAGGCTTGAGGTCCTCCTCTTAAAGTGGAGGCAGTGATAGTACCTACTCACCAGGCTGTGGGGAGAATCACAACACACAGTGCGCTTGTGTCTTAATAAGTACTTTTGGGTGCTGGGCGCCCACGAACTGCTCTCCTTTGTCGTAATCTTAACTGAGGCCAGAGAGTGAGTATTTGTCCAAGGTCGCCCTATGAGAGCCTCGGAAAGTTCCAAAACTCAGATCTCCCGCGCCAGCTCCCCTCCTTTCATTCACGTGAAACACTGTTGCTCTTCTGACACACTCTTTGGACTGGACTGTTGCACCCACCCCGCACCCCATCATTAGCTATCAGATGTTTCCCATCTTTTAGACCTCAGTTCAGGTCGCTTCCTTCATAAACCTTCTCCTTGTCTCCCCTCATTTGGATGTGCTACCAACTTTTTGGACACTTTTCCTCTGGTGCCCTGTTTAAGCTCTGTTTGCTTTTTTGTCTTATCCTTTTAGATTCTAAGTTTCTAGATGTTGACAGTAGGAACTGCATTTTGCTTGGTTTGCATCTCTTGTAGCATCTTGAACAAAGTCAGCATTCATTCATTTATTCAGGTGATATCTGCCAATGGGAACTGTGTGCCTGGTGCTATTGTAGGTGCTGGGGATACAGGGGGAAAAAAATCTCTACTTTTATTGATCCCCTTTGATGCTAAAATTGCTGCTCCTTTGATTAATGTATTGACCAAAAAAAAAAGTTTTAATTTAATTCGACCTTTCTGTTCCACTAGCCAGCGTTCTGTGAACTTTTTGGTCAGGACTGCCAGTAACAAAACATTTTACATTTGATGTCTAGTACCCTCATGCATATATGAAACAGAAGTTTTGTGAAACAATATTTGCCATTAATATCTGCTATGTTTTAAAAATATTTTCTATTTGATTCTAGTTTATAATCACTTTAAGGGTACTCATTATGAGCTCTAGTTAATGAGTTCTATTTAATGAGATACTATTTAATGAGCGCAGAACTCATTACATTTATTGCACATCCTGTTCCTTTAGTTAGCATTGCCTCACACAGTGCCTGGCACATGGTGCTCAATAGAACTGGTTGACTGGCCGGTAGACTGATCTGCTTAAAGGCGAGAAGCTAGATCCAGATATGTATGTAAATTCGTTTTACCAGATACTCATCCCATGCCTGCTCTTCCAGACACTGGCATGTAAAGTCTATGAGGGTGAGGCTCTTGTAAGTGCTTGTCACATAGTAGGTTCTTAATATTTGGTGAATGAATGCGTATTAGTAAGACAGTTAATTTAGGACATCAAGCTGTGACGTACTTGTAAAATCATAAAGACATCGTCTCTTAACCTGAAAGCCTGGATTTCAGATTGAAGAATACATACGGGTCTGGTAGGTCTTTACTGAATCTTGTTCCACACTTTGAAATTTTAGGAATCACAATGCAATTTTTTTTAGCATAATGAGATATAAACTTTGTGCCTGGACAAAGCAAATTTGCTAAGCATTCGGACTAAATAGAATGATATGGGCCTATAGTCCTAACCAACGTATCTACTATACTCTGCAGACATAATTTGCACACATTTAATATACTTTTGTGCACTGTGTAAACTTAAATGTAGACAGCATAGTCATGAGATGGTACAGGAAAAATGTTACTATTTTAATTTGTTAATATACTTGAGAACTATAGTAGCAATTCAATTTTTAAAATATTACACAACAAAATGGAAAGGATAATGATAGGAAATAAATGAAAGATAAATGAAAGCATTATCTTCCCTTTTTTACTTATGTAAATACTCCACTTCCAGTTCTGTGAGGCAGGGACTTGGCCAGTCTTGTTCACTGTGGCTTTCCCTGCCCTTGTCCCAGTGCTCAGCATACAGTAGACACTCAGTAACTATTAAGTAAAAGAACGAAAGAAAAAAAATCATTCACTGACCTATTCCACCAATATGTGAGTACTTCTGATGTACCAGGGCAGATAAAAATAAGAAAAAGGAGTCCTTGCAAAGGTTATAAACTTCTAATGTCAAGAGGTGTCCCCGTGAAGGAGGGACTGATTCTGCCTGAAGGTGCCAGGGATGGCTCACAGAGGAGGTGACATTTAAGGTGGCTCTTTAAGCTACTTAGCGGGGAAGTTATTCCTGGCAGAGAGAACAAGGTGTGTACAAACATGAACGTGCGAGTCGCACAGTGGTGGGGACTGAAACTGGTAGCAGATGTGGGCCTTAAGGAGGGCCCTGTGAAGGGATCTAGTGGGATTTTAACCTGCAGGCGCTTGGGGGGCCCACCAGAGTCTTTTAAGGCAGGGAGGAGAAAGGGGACATGAGACTGTCAGGTCATTACCTCTGCAGAGAATCAGTGATATCATGGAGGGTGTACTGACAAGAGGCTTCTGAGGTTTCCAGGGAAACGGTGATCACGGCCCAGAGTCCCCGTTGCTTTGCATCCTGCCGATGTCAGGCACTTCTGTGCACTTTGAAAGTGCTCATTTGTGGAGAATTGGTGGAGTAAGGAAGCAGCCAGACACTGATTAGCATGGTTTTCCCCAAACTTGCTCATTTGAACAGTCACCTGGCGCCACACTAGATCTGAATCTATTCTAAGAGTGTCTGGGAATCCCTGTGGTTAAGCGAGCACATCTATAATATACAACGTGTAATATATAATACACGTAATATAGTATAATATAATACATAATGTTGTATGTATATCATTATACATACTATTATATTATTTTCTCCCCTGGAAGTACTCAGCCAGGCACAGCCAATGGAATCCTTATTCATCCTTATTCAGAAGATGCTTTAATGCTTTTTAGATGTCAGTTTAGATTGAAGAAAGTGACCACTTTCTGGCCCATTTTATCAGCATGTGCACTTCCTCTTAGTGTGAATAAGATTTTCTGAACCAAAAAAAAACCTATCAGCGTCCAGAAAAATATGTTTTAGTAATTTGGGGTGTCGTTACCTTAGAATGCATCCAACTTTGATTTTAAAAATTAAGGTACTTTCTATAACAACAAGAAAGCAGGGTTTTTTTTCTTTTCCCTGGTAAATGGCTTTGTGGCATCTTATTTTTCAATTGTTTTTGTCTTCAAATGGGCTTTACAGAACTGGATTCGCTATAATCCTCGGTCCATGACACCGTCATCATAGATTCGTCCTTGACCCTTTTAGTTAATTCATTTTCATCTTTGTTTTATTTTTTAATAACACACAGGACACCGAAGCACTCACTACCAGTCTAAGACTTGTACATAACAGTAGCTTCCATGTGGACTTGTGCCCCCACCCCGCACCCTGCCCCTGCCTCCACTCAGCAGAGGGAACCACGGTACTGAGTTTTCTAGGGCACCATCTAAAGACGGAACTCAAAGGTTTTTCAAGTCGTTGTCCTTTAGTTGTGGAGGACGCAGCTCAGCTCCAAGTCCAGTCGCCGTTTTCATTCTAGTTGTGGGGGGGACGCAGCTCACTGGCCCATGTGGGAATGGAACCGGCAACCCTGTTGCTCAGAGCTCGCGCTCTAACCGACTGAGCCACCTGGCCGCCCCAGGTTTTGTTTTTTTATGTAAGTTCATTTATCTGTGGTTCTTCCCTCCCTTTCAGAGTTTGGAGCCGCTTCCAGCCAGTGGGCCTGATTTTGGAGCGTTAGGAGAAGAAGCTGAATTTGTTGAAGTTGAACCTGAAGCTAAACAGGAAATTCTTGAAAACAAAGATGTGAGTATTCTGTTGAAGGGCTTGATGCTGTTAGTAGGAGAAGCAGTCACTTCCGTAAACCTCTAGGGGGGTGTAAGGGAATTAACCTGCCTCCGTGCCTTCATCACAGAAGAGTTTGTAGCCAGCTACAGTTTAGAAAGGCTGCTGACTTTTAGAAAAATGGGTTCTGGTTTTAGAAAAATAGTGTTTCCTTGGTGATTATTTTCTTGGGAAGTTTAACCAAACATGTTTTGTATTTATGTTATTAAAAAAACCACAAAGCATTTCTAAGACAGACTCAAATATGCTTAAGTTTATACTTTGTTTCTTGCTCCCAGAAAAAAGGCCTTGGGTCTTGAATGAAACTTTACCTAAACTTTGTTGCTTTTGAAATTAAGCAAAGTTGAAGCAATGTGAGCTCATTTTCATGAATTCTTTTTTTAAAGATTTTATTGGGGAATTGGGGGAGGGAACAGCGTTGGGGAATTGGGGAAGGGGAACAGACAAGCTACTATCCTTTTGTTCTTCGGTCTAGTTGTGGAGGACGTCGCTTCACTGGCCCATTATCATTGGTATTATCATTGCGCTCTTCCTGGCTGAGGCAGATCGGCCACCGGCCATTGGACGGCTGCTCATGGCGGCTCTTGGCAGCTCACACCGGCTGCCGGCTGCTCATGGTAGCTCACGGCAGCCCACTGCAGCTTTACTGCAGCCTACGCCATTGCCGGCGACTCATGGCAGCCCAGCTCCAGGTTGAGCTGTTGTTCACCATCTTAGCTGTAGAGGGCGCAGCATCACTGGCCCATGTGGGATCTGAACCGGGACTCTGATGCTCAGAGCTGGCATCCCAAGTCAACTCTTAACCAACACGCCACTTGGCCGGCCCATGAATTCTTACATTAAGATCTTCTCAGTGGAATATCCCAGTCACCTATAAGTTATAAATTTCCCAAATACTCCCTAGGATCTCTGCCTTATTTTTCTGTCGCTTGGTACCATCTACTGTACTATACACGTTGCCTGATTCTCTCGCCTTGAGAGCATAAGCTCCCCTGAGGCAGGAATTTATGTGTTGTCCTCTGTTGCATCCTCATTGTCTAGAACAATACCTGGCTCTTAGGTAACCCATGCCTAACCCTTTTCTGGAACAAATTAAACATTTACTATGTGTTCACTGTGGTGAGTGGCTTTTATGAAAACGGTGGTGAGGGAGAAGCAGTTCCCCTCCTGAGAAGTGTTCTTTCCGGTGCAGAGAGGCTCTGAGTCCTTGCTTTTCATGCTGTGCTGAATCCCCACGAGCTCTCTAGTAAGATGCACGCAGTTATGAGACTGGGTTACAGTCAGCGTCACCCCAGGGCCAGTGCTTGCGGAGCACGTGGGGAAGGACATACAGGGGACCTCTGCGGCCTGCTGGGCTTAGGACCAACACGGTCCTTGGTCATCTCGCTACGGAGACCTGGTGGACCCCTCACAGGAAGCACAGACCTAGCAAAGGGCAGGTCCATGTCACCGTTTATTTGAAAGGGTGTGAAAAATACCTAGAATAAAGTCTGGGATTAAGAAATGTGGATCATTAAACTTGAAAAAAAATCTGATATTAATTTCAGACATTTGTCGTTAGGCTTGATGCCGGATCTCCTGTCCTGTGTCATACTTCACAGTCTGTTCTCTTGTCACATTCAGGTGGTTGTCCAGCACGTTCACTTTGATGGCCTCGGAAGGACTAAAGATGATATCATCATGTATGAAATTGGAGACGTGTTTAAGGCTAAAAACCTTATTGAGGCAAGTATTCTCTCTGGCATCCTTTTCATTGCCCTCTGAAGATGTGTGACTGTCCTGTGTCCTTTACTCCGCCGAGCGCCCCACCCTGGCCTCAGTCCGCCGAGCGCCCCACCCTGGCCTCACTCTGCTGAGCGCCCCACTCTGGCCTCACTCCGCCGAGCGCCCCACCCCAGCCTCTCTGCTCATGATCTTGGGAGCCGTGGCCTCCCACGCTGAACCCCTCAGTGCCCTGGGTGCCTCCCACAAACTTGTGTATGTTTGCATTCGCCCTTATCCCGGAAAAGGGTGTGTCTGTCCTCTTTCCAGGATTGGTTCATCTCCATGTTCTTCACACGCGTCCCAGCCTTGGAATGGGGGCTGTGGGGACTGAGTGCTGACTCCTCCCTGGGGACCCTGCTTGGCACTCTCCCTTCATGGCCCCCCGACCTTGTGGGTGGCACTCAGTGGTCACCCACCCAGTGGTCCCCTCGTGCCCTTGCTCCATTTACTCACAGTTGCTTTCCTGGGTTGCACCATCTAGCTCCTCTCCTCTGTGGGTTCCTCCTGGCCTTCCGACCTTGGGCCCACACTTACGTGCTGGGGTGGGGTCACGGCGCTTCCTTATGGCCAAGTCCAGTGGCTCCTTTCAGCCTCGTTTTACTTGACAGTGTTTGGCCATTCCCACTTGAAAAACTAGAGGTTTTTTTTTAGTTTGTTTTTTAAAGATTAAAGTAATACAGGGGTGCCAAAAAAATGTATACAAGTGGACTGTTTGGTCAGTGTTGCTCAAACAGTAGTTCGCTGTCATCAGAAGCAGCTAGACGCTGATGGTAACCACTTTGAGCACCTTTTGTAATTGCAGAAGCCAAACGTGACTTGTATTCATCTTTTGTTATCGGTATATTTTGAGTATTACAATTTTAATACAGTTCCGCTTTCTTAAAATGTGTATACACTTTTTTGGCACCCTCTGTATATAAGTATGTTTATACTGTTAAAAAACAGTGTAAAGCAATCTAACGGTACAGAGGGCATGGAAATGAAATGTAGTGAATGAATAACTTCACTGCCAAGCCCAGGCCTGCCCTCCAGAGGCCGCCATGGCTGAGGGTTTCTCGTGCGTCCTTCCAGGCGTGTTGTACACGTGTCTCCACACGGAGAGCCTTTGAACAATCATCCCATTCTCCATTCTGCACGTATTTTCTGTACCTTTCAAATTGGACATCATTAATTATCATGGAGATGTTTTTGCATCAGCACATACCAATGGCACGGTATCTCTGTGTGTGGACTTTGCATCGTTAATTGTGAAGGTTCCAGTAAATGAACATATAAATTGAGTGTTTTGTTCGTATGATCAGTGCCGCAGTAAACCTCTTTGTGTGATGTGCCAGTGTGTCTGTAGGGTCCATTTCTATAAGCGGGGTTTCTGGGAAGGGCATGTGCACTGCAGTCTGAACATATGGTGCCATGTTGCCCTCCAGAGCTCACACCAGCGGTATGTGAGAAGGTCTGATTTTCAACAATGGGTGTTATCACACTTGCCAAAAAAAAAAAAAACACTTAAAAAAATAAATAGAAATCCTTGTCAACCTGTTAGGTGAAAAATACATTCTCATTATTTTAACTTGCACTTTTTAGTTATGAATGAGATTAAGCACCTTTTCTGTAGCCATTGGCCATTCATATTCCTCTCTTGTGAATTACCTGTTGGTGTCCTCTGTTTCCCATTGGATTGTTGGGCTTTTGTTAATTTATAAGAGCTCCTTGCATATTAAAAAAGTGACAACTGTGACTGAGGGCGAATATATTTTCTTGCTTTGTTGTTTTCGGGATTTATTTATTTCCTTTTTTGGCACGCCCCTTCCCTGGGTTTCCACGGATCCCACACTGTCCTGGGCTGCTTCCCACCTCTCATCACATTCATTCCAGGCCCCATTGTCAGCTGCTTTCCCTGTGGCCACCATTAAGAGTTGGCTTTCCTGACGACCCGTCTCCTGGGTGGTGTCCCCCTCTCTCTGGGTGGTCTCATCCACACTCCTGGGTTTAACTGCAGCCTCCACATTGAGGGCTTCCCACCTCTGGTTCTAGCCACTTCCTCTCTGTTGAGCGTTATCCCTGACTGTGCAGCTGCCCACTGAGCATTTCCTCATGGAGTTGCTGCAGACGTCTCCATCGCTATGTGGCTGAAAACTGAACTCAGCTCGTCGCCCCTTCCCGCGCGCCCCTGCCTGTCCTTCTTCTCTGCCTCTGACTCCTCATGGCACCGAGAAATGCTAAGCCCAGAGCTGAAAGTTTTCACAGCCGCCCTCTCCTCTCCTGCTCTCCATCCAATCAGTGACAGTCCTGGGCTCCCGCCCATGAAATGTGCGTATAGCCTACCCTCCCCTCCAGCACCGGGCCCTGTGCTCCACCAGCGTCCCTCCCAGCTCCCAGGTCTGCCACCTTCTGTGTCTGTCTGTCTCCAGGCTTCTCCTTTCTCCCTGTTCATCTGCACGATCAGCTCATATCCTAAGGAAATTCCATCCTGCGTCTCCCCTGCTGAGAACGCTAACTCCCCTTTTTCCTGCAGGACAAGTCTAAACTTGGCTTATTATACAAGGTCCTTTCCCACCCCACCTACTTCCATTTCCCCTCCAGCAGGAAAGGACTCCTGGCATCAGAAAGGACTGCTGTTGACATTGAAAAGGAAAAAAAAAACCAGGTGGTCAGAAAATTCAGACAACTTAAAAAGGCACACGCGCACACACGGAAGGTTCCTTTTACCAGACAGACCCCTTATTAACCAGTGGTTGTCATTCTCTTCCTGGAAAACCCGCCAGGTTGTCTGCGTTTTGATTCTTTCTGTTTGTTTATGCGAAAGGGGTTATATTATTGCCGCCTGCTCTGTGCCCTCCGCTTGGTTCTGTGCATCTGAATAGGATTTCTGTTGCTCCCCAGATGCTTTGTCTCTCCTTTCATGTGTCTCTTCTCCCTGACCAGCGAGCACCAGATGGTTAAACCGCCAGCCTGGCCACAGCCACCGTTCAAGCTTCTGTATCTCTGCTTCTGTCTCCTAGGTAATGCGGAAATCTCATGAAGCCCGTGAAAAGCTGCTTCGTCTGGGAATATTTAGACAAGTGGATGTTTTGATCGATACCTGTCAAGGTACACGATGTGGTGTAGTTTCCCTGGGATGTTCCGTTCCATGCATGCCCCAGGATCACAAAAACCATTTGTGTGGCCAGGCACAGATAGCCCTGGAGGTTTATCAGACAGATAGGGTGGCCCACAATCTCAGGGGAGCAGCTGGATTTGTACGTGAGGCTGAGCGGGGACGGGTAAGGTGCCAGGTATCTGAGGATCCTGGAGGAGGGAGCCAGGCGTCATTCGCGATCGCCCAGCACGTGTCCGAATGGGCTTTTGCAGACTCCATCTCACTGTTTGCTTTGAGAAGAGGAGGGCACCAGGAATCAGAGTTCCGTGTTTGTTTTTTATTTGCCTGTTTGCTGTGGGAGACCATCTGGGGCTGGTGTCATAGCTCTGTCCTTGAGGTCACCTGGGGCTGGCGTGATTTCCCCTTGGTGTCTTGTCATTTCATCATCCCCAGGGTCCCTTGGTTCCGGTGGTGTCTGAATGCCATTCCAGTCCCGCATGTCATTCCAGCATCCGGCAGCAGAGAAAGGGGAGAAAGTGCACACCCCTCCCTTTAAGCACCTCTCCCAGGTGTTGCACACAGCACCCCCCTCTGATCCCACTAACCAGGGCTTACTCACATGGCCACACCTAGTGCAGGAGAGGCTGAAATAAAGTCTGAGTTCCGCACAGCTAAGACTTGAGGACTCACTTCTGGTTAGAGCGGTGGTTCTCAAAGAGTGGTCCCACACCAGCAGCCTTGCTCTCCCCTGGGAACTTTGTAGAAATGCACATTCAACTAATCCGTGGCATAACAAGCCCCCCAGGCAACCCCCTGGACTAAAACAGGGAGAAGAGATGTGGGAGACAGCCTGCTGCGTCTGCACTCTCGGTGGTAGCAGATGGCGTACTTGTGCTGAGCTCCGTGTAAGGGGTTTATGTCCGTGATCCAACTGAATCCTCACAAAATCCTGGTCAAGCATCATTATTATTCTTTTTCCACTAAGAAAAACAAGCTAGGAGAGGCTTAATAACTTGCCCCAGGTCACATGAATGACAAGTGGCCTCGCCACCGCTCTGGACTACTTTTCATGGCGTCACGTCTTGGTGGCATTTAGCGCTCCTGTCTGTTGTAAATGTGGCGTGTGCGTGGTCAGCTGGTCCGCCTGTGGCAGCCTTCTCCACTCTGGAATTACCGGGAGCGTTTGGAAAAGCAGGGTTTAGGGCAGTCTGACTATTCCGGACGATTCTCTACTGGTGGGTACTCGATCTTATCCCCTTGTCAAACCCTAGAATGTACAGCCCACGAGTGAACCCTGCTGCAAACTGCACTTGGTTAATGGCAGCGTCTCACTGTTGGTCCCTCAGTTGTAATAAACGTTACACCACACTAGTGCAAGTTGTCAGTGAGGGGGGGCTGCGTGTGAGGAAGTAGGAAGGGGGTCTGGAGACTCTGTATTTTGTGCGGTTTCCCTATAAATCTAAAAGCGCTCTAAACAATAAAGTCTGTTAATTAAAAAAAAGAATAAAATGGTGTCAAGACTGTACCCTGACCAACCAAGTCAGTTTGTGGGAGCCAGTGCCCCGGCGCCTCAAGTTTGGCGGCTCCCACATGCGGCCCCTTTCCCACCAGGGGCAGGTTGAGCTCCTTCCGTCCTGTGAGACACCCACAAGCCCCTGCGCCCCAGGGCCCTCGGTGGGTCACGGGGCAGCTGCACGCAGTTCAGACACTAATCACCCCACAGGCACCCCACCCCTCGCTTGAGGGGGGACAAAAATGATTCCCTGTTACCTAAGGATTGCATGTGTTGCTTCTCTTTCAGGGCCACTAGAGTCCCTCTTGTCACGAGTTCCACATTTTCATGTCAGTTGAATCGAGGCTCCAAAGATTTTCAGGGGCCCCCCTCACAGGAGAACAAAAGCATTTAGCAAATAATGTGTGCTTAAGTGACTAGTGTTGCATAGTTCTCTCCCTGTTTTTCTGTATCTTCTACCATGGAAGCCAGATGCAGGATTTTTGGCGTGGAGGTATTGTGATTTTGTGCGGCAGTGTTCCTGAACTTTCAAATAGAGAGTGTGATTTCCAAAGGAGATTGTAAATAAACCGAGCCTTGAGAGGGCTTATTTGTCTTTTTCAACAGTAGGCCCCAACATGCAGCTACCTCTCCTGCTGTGTCATCGTTGAATGTTCTTTACTCACCTAGGAGATGACGCGCTTCCTAACGGGCTAGACGTTACCTTTGAAGTCACTGAGCTGAGGAGATTGACGGGCAGTTACAACACCATGGTCGGGAACAACGAGGGAAGCATGGTACGACACAGGCCTCTCCTGCCGCCCGGGGGGACTTCCAGCTTTGAGCTTTAAAATGCGACCGTGTTCTAGAAACGGATGGTAGTTTCAAAACCCTTTCACGCACCTTCATCTTTATTTGTAAGATAACCCGTGGTTTCCCATTCGTCTTCCTGGGGTTGATCATTCTATGATTGTTAGAAAACATTGTTAACATCAGTAGTGAATTAGGAATGATTTGGGGAATGTTTATATTTAAAGTTTCTTGTTCAAATTCCCCAAACTCCAAACCCACAGAGTTGGTTTCCCTGAGCCTCACAGTTAAGTTACTGAGTTTAGCCAAGCCCTCGAATTAATCAGCTGTGTGCGTAGGGCGTGTGCCCTCAGCAAAGGCATGTTTTAAAGAGTAGAAGCACTAATTTCTGCCAGATGTGTACTCCACGTTTTATCCTGTTTTTATGAGGCCCCCTCAGCTAGCATAGGTTTTCTTACAAGTTACCATTCCTTCGATTTAAACCCCCACTATTTTTTTTCCCCTCCTAGGTACTTGGAATCAAACTCCCTAACCTGCTAGGTCGTGCAGAAAAAGTGACGTTTCAGTTTTCCTATGGAACAAAAGAAACTTCCTACGGCCTGTCCTTCTTCAAACCACAGCCCGGAAACTTCGAAAGAAAGTAGGAATCCACACAGATCCTTGGCCTGGTTTCCAGTTAAAATAGGCGGCTTGTTTGGGAAAAGAAACCCTACAGAATCTATAGCATGTAACTTTTACGGTGTTACATGCTCTAGATTTCCTCATGAAGATGAACCCCGGGAGTGTGTTGATTTAAATGTGTGCAAGTTATAATCCCTGTTTCAGCTTTTAAAGCTCTGCCCATTGTCTCCTAGCTTCTCCTTAAACTTATATAAAGTTACTGGACAGTTCCCCTGGAGCTCACTCCGGGAGACGGACAGAGGAGTATCAGCCGAGTACAGTGTAAGTAGCATTCCCGTCATTCCGTTTGTGCCCTCGAGGGAAAGCAAAGCGCCTGTTTAACGGATTCCCAAAGACAGCAAGAGGGGCGGGGCCAGGGCAGCACAGACCTGGCCGTGGTCTGGGCCTTGGAGTGGCGAGCAGGGTTGTTGGGGTCACTGGGGTCACCCTCTGTTCTTTGCTGCAGTCAGTGCCTCCAGGCCGACTGCCAACTGCCAGGGCCAGAGTGGTCAGGGTCCATGGTGGCAGCTTCTCTGACTTGGTCAAATTTCCCCTGTGCTCCCGACTTCCTGTGACCCCGTCTGTTTGTCTTTCTTCATTCGCTGAGATCGATAGCGTCTGATAGCCAGCAGAGGCCCTTCAGGTTACTGACAGCTTTCGTCATTGGTTTACACATAAGCTCACTTCAGGCAGGTTCTGACTAAATGCAACAAATGGAATTCCTATCATTTGGCCGCGTTTTGGCTCATGGTGAACCTACGCTTTTTCCTTTCTTTCTGCACAGGTCTCTATTCCTCCTCCTGTTCTAGGCTTTAGTTAGTGAAAGTGGTTCCCCAGTGTGGTCCTCAGACCAGCAGCTTCCGTCAGAAATGCCAATTCATGGGCCCCGCCCCCCGCCTGCACTGCCGAATCAGCATTGTGGGAATGGGGTCAGGAAACGCTTTTCACCCCCATCCCCACCCCA